CAATGATTTAGTTACACACACTAGAAAACACTATATACCTGTTCGTTCAAAGCTGTAAATAGATCTTCTAAAGGCTTGCTTAGTTTTGGTGTTTCCTGGCGTCCAATTTGCCTCAATAACTGGTCTAAAAAGAAACCGATGTATGCTACAAAAGAAAAAATAAACAGTTCCAAGTTACATAACATAACAATACAAATCAACTCTAACTAAAAAGCATTCGCAAGCAACTTAATACAAATTTTCTTGCTTACACTATGAGCATGCAATAGAACTACATCAAATTTCAGCATATATCATTTTTGTGCTATCATTTTTTTTGCCAAAATTAAGGGATAATTTTCACAAAGTTCAAAGTTAGTTCATCCTGGTGATTGTACTCTTTAAAGCCAATATTAAAATTCCAGAAAACCAACATTTTTTAGAACAAAAAACATTTGCTTCAATAAATTTTGAAAATCCTTCAAAAATTAAATTTTTGGTGAACCTTTTCAATGTGCACCATATGTCAACACCATGCTATATAATTTAATGTCAAATCTTATCTAAACAATTTATTTTCAAAATAAAAATGAAGCTATCAATCAATATTTTAAAAAATTACAGATTATTTTGAAGTGTTATCAATATTCACGAACGAGACAAAATACATGTATTTTAATCCTAATTTGCTTCGATGATGTGACAGACCACCACAAATCACAATTATGCATCAGCGGATTCATTAAGAACATTTTGATGAAATGAGCTGGAAGCCTCAAAAGATAATTTTTCTGTAAAAATTTCACAGATGAAAATATTCTTGCATGGAAAAGTAAGAAGATCGCATTGTATTCTGGGAAACGTGACAACATGCAAAAGAGAACTCCCTAGGAAAGTGACAAAAATCCTGAAAGAAAGAAACAAAGGGGCAGGTCTCAAGCAAAAAGAGGTTCATGGTTAACCTAATTGAGAATGATTTTGGTAAAGTTTTCAATTTCAATAAAAAGTAATCATTGTTTGCTATTTCCCTCACCTTTTAACTTGTCATGACATACCAATTTTGTTATGAATTCAACATCAGGTTTCCTAGCAGAAGCAAAGCATATATATTCACATTATTATTTTCTGCACTTTTTTTCTTAGATTATTCAATATTTCTGGAAATGAACACTAATTTTGGAGCCAACAGACAAAATTTGAGTCATTTTTCAGTTTTCACTCAAAAAATTTGGCTATTTTTGTCCCAATCGTCCGAAGGAAAGTGCAGGCTATGAACAGAACTATTTTGTGGATTTTTGATGAAAAGAGGGAACTGATGGTAAAAAGGTTGTAAAGTACATTAAAATTTGTATTAGAAGCCACGGCTTCTATTAAAATGGTACAACGCCACAGAGGGGATGTGGCTTCTATTAGAGCATCTCTACACATATGAGAAATGTGAATTTTTGTTTTCAATTGTTCAAAAAGAATGGGCACAGCTTTTATTAGGGATGCGGCTCCAAATACAAATTTCACAATACTAGTAGCAAGATTCGATAAAAAAATTAACGATAGCATTATTTATCTTCTCATGTTGTGGCTCCGTGTGATAGAACTGTCACATTAGAAATCATCTAGATAGTTGAAATTTGTTTTTTCACAGAAACCAAAACTTCATGTTGCTGGGAGCGTCTTATGCAATTGCAGCTTCCATTGTTGTCATAGGAGAATCCTAGACTTTTTATTGTTGCTTTCAAAAGTTACCAGTGTGGGAAAAATCAACAGATCATGCAAAGTGAGGTGTATGATGGGCTAACTTAAAACCATTTGATTGTAAACTGGCTTCTATATTTACAATATCCACATTTAGTATGAAATTTACAGCAACCAAACATAATCTTACCTCACAAATACTTGTCCAAAGTTAAATGCGAATAAATGAAACTCCAGTAAAGCAGCGTCAATTTCATCCACTGTGAAAGAAAACCCAGATTAATTTATAATCAGAACCAGTGACTATTCACACTATGAATACATGGTGTATTTTTCATTGCACCGGGCAAAGAGTTTTGACCATTTGTATTTCATGCAAACTTGCTACAGGTACAGAGCAGAAACCATATCCAATGTTTGGAACTATATGTGTAACAGGGCTGTGTGACCCAAAATAATGGTACTAATAATGTTCAATTCATGCCCTCATTGACCTTGATCTTGGTTGTTCAATGAATCATATATATATTACTTATTTTGAGCATAGAAACACCTCTGTAATTAAGTAAGTGCATTTATTACTAATAGAGCATTTCTAGCATTTGCATCGAAAATATGACACGATTAAGAATACCTCCAAGAAAATAGCAACAAAAATAAATTACATAAAAATATCAATTTAATATGCCTTGCATTTATGTTTCCTAGAACACTAACGCGAATAAATTATCACTCCCTACAAGACAGAAAACAAATTCATATACGTACATAGACTTGGAATATTCTTGATTCTCTGCTTTGATATCTCCCACTTGATGAGACTTGCCACTGTTAATTTGTCGACTGACATATTCAGATCCTACAAAATAGTTAAGATGAGGACCATTAATAATGTTCCCTTCAGACCAGTTAATAATCAGCCCTTCATCATTATCTATATCAGTTTATCTACGATCGTCAACAGAATCATTCATATATTATACCCGAAAGCTATTTAATGAAGTAATATTAAAATGGCTGTAAACATTTGCAAGATGACTTTTCTACGTACTTTCATTTTTTGCATCAATTCTGTGGCTTCACCCCCTCCGAGTGTTGGGAAAATGTAGAGTTGATACGAATCCATACTGAACGCTATATACATCTCACGAGCCTTATTCTCGATATCAGACAAACCTAATGTAAGAAAGAAAAAATGTCAAAGATTTATACTATTAAACCACCAGTTCCCTCATTCCATCACAAATTAGTACTGTTTATAGTCTGCACACTATGCTTCAGAAAATTGCGACAAAAATAGTGAAATGTTTTGAGTAAAAACTGGAAATTGACTCAAATGTTGTCTGTTGGCTCCAAAATTATGGTTAATTTCCAGAAATATTAAAGAATATATAAGAAAATATGCAACAAAATTTGGGCGAGAAAATCTGTATGACTACAATGCAACTGATGCCAAATAATTATTAAGTTAATGGTATCATAAGAAGTGACAGAGTATGTCCTTTTATGCAATTATTCTGAAATTGAAGACGAATACCATTTACCATTAATTTGTCCATTTTTTAAGGTTACCAATATTAAGGAAAAATATGTTCCAAGATACTATTTTTAATGGTAACAATCTGGTCATATCAATTTAAACAAGCAGCCTATCGGCTGAGATAGCTCCGCTGTTAGCAATGCACATTTCAATTAAAGAACTGAAGACATCATTAGAAAATGAACAATATGTATAGTATCAAAGCAATCGAACTTACAGTTTTTAACAAGAAGTCGAAAATATCACTTTCTACGAAA